AGGAAGAGGGGTGTAGCCCGATGCAGAGGGCATTTTGCTGCCTGCTTGTTTTCAGGGAGGCACCTCAGCACAGCACCGGCTGTCTGAAGCTTGCTGTTTCTGTTGATGTCAATGCAGTCAAGTTGCCACTTGTCCTTGCATAAAGAGAGAGAATGAGCAATGTCTTAATTGGCTGCATAGAGGTGAGGCCCAGTGAGCTGGATGTGGGTGGGGGTTCAGTCTGTTGGTAGCATCTATTCCTGGCTACACTGGAAATGTTTCCTTCCCACCCTGAGGGCTACACAGAAAACTAAATAGGATAGAAGAGATCAAGCTGAGTGTTCAGGCAGCCTGGCCCAGCTGCACGCTAACACGGTCCCGCAAGGCAGCATCTTTAGTTGTTGCCTGGAAGACCACTGGCTCGTGCTCTACAAGATCATCCTTCTCATCTCCCCCTGCGGCTTGCTGCACATTCTGGCATCTCCCTCTTTGCAGGGCCAGTCCAAACCTTGCCATATCTTCCCCATGTCATCCCCAGAGTCTCTCTTTGTCTTGGCCGTGCCTTCCCTGAATAGGCAAAGTCAGGGTATTTTCTCTAATTTCCATTCTGTTCCTTTTAAGGCTGGTTCTGCACTTTGAGAAGGGGGCTTCCTCATCTTCTACAACTGCCAAATACATTGGCGCCCCTTGCCGACTGCCAAACCCATCATTGACATCCTGTTTGCTGAGATCCATCAGGCGCAGGCTTTGCAAACCTGTCCCAGGCTCATGGCTGTCTGCTACATCCTTCTGGACTGGAGATATTTCTGGGCTCTGGGTATACCATATGCTCCACCAGGGAGGGGGAATGGACTCCAAAGAGAGAAACACTATGGCTCAGTCTGAGATGGATCTCAGATATATCATTTAGTGTAGACCCTGTGTGTTAAATATCCCTTCTGAGACATGAGGCTTGCAGTTGACCGGTAGTAGCCATGTAGTAGTCATGTGTCTATAGCACCTTCCATGGACAGATGTGCCCACCCTGTACCAAAAGGAATGAGATTGGGCTGATGTAGCAGGGAGCTTGGTGCTCTTGCTACTTTAAGGGAAAGCAGGCGGCAGGAGCAGCAGGCTGCAGGTGAGGCAGAGGGCAGTCAAGGGGGCCACATGAGCCCAAAGGGATTGGGCTTGCATGATATAAGCCCAGGGCTCCAGCTGGGCAGGCAGTTCAGCCCTGGGGCGATGGAGGCAAGAGCTCCTGAGCACTCTGCAAGGGGAATCTCTGCTAAAGCAGCTAAACTGCTGGGGGTAAGGACCGGTGGTTTAGGACTGTAGGAGTGGGGGAGGTTTCAACTGGACCAGGAGAGAGGCCAAGGTGTGAGGGATAGGGGCCAAGGCTGAGGAGCAGGGCCACAGCCAAAAAGTGATGACAGCATGCAGGGCCAGGGCCAGAGACCTGTAGCCTGAGCAGGGTGAAAAGCAGGGGCAGGGACCCATAGACCAGTAGGGTTGCAGCAGATTAGACGTGAGCTGGGAGAGAACCAGACTGGGTTTGGGGTAGTCAGCTGAAGAGATAGAGGCCTAAGCCCAGGAGAGGCTGGGATGGTTAAAGGCACAGGGTTGGAGGCCCCAAAAGTAGCAGACTTCTCCAGGTTCAGAGGTCGCATTGACTAGAGTTGACACTGGGGCAGAAGGAATAATGGGGTAGACCTCACTGATCCCTGAAAGTCAGACAGAGGAGCAGGAGAGTCTCTCTGCCCTGCAGCCCTAGCCCCTCCCTGCCTGCCATGGCCCTCTCTTCTTCTGGGTTCCTGCCATGGGGAGAGCTTCCTCCCAGAGCCCCACAACCACTGGTCGCATGTGGTCCAACTGACCCACCCCTATGACTTGCTGGAGTTGGTGTAGTGGTGCTGTCACAGCTCCCAAGCCCACGTGCATTTGGATCCAGACCAGGCGTGCCGTGTGGCTGCCTCACTGAAGCTCCAGGCCATTGGCATTACCGCGGGGAGAAGGGGCTATCACTTCTTGTGCACCCCTGGCTTAGTTTGCCGGCCTGTGACTCACTGATGTGAACGGTTCTTGCTGTTGCATCTCCATTTCTGAACTTCTGCTTTCCCCTCTGCTCCAGGAAGCATCATGAAGAATGAGATCTTGTACTTGGTGAAGATCCACCCATTATCACAAGGGTCCCTCTTGGCTCCCTCCAGTCTCGACGCCTTGCTTGATCATGCTGTTCAGTTCAGCACCCACTGGCTGCCTAAGAAATTGCATGGGGATGGATTACACCCTCCGATCTACCAGAAGGAGAAAAGTCCTCTTGGGGACATAGTGATATTGGGAACTCATGGTCCCCAACATCACCTTCAAAGACTTACCTGGTGGTGCCCTCATGCCAGTCTCATATGCCAACAGAAAGCAAAGGTCATCCTCCTATGCATACCACTACATCTTCCATCCTTTAAAGGGATTAAGGACATGCTATCCTTTCTTGGAGAATATTGCATGAGGATGAAGATGAGGATGGCTTGCAACAAGCTGCAGGTTGTACTGAGCAGAAATCCCTTTTCCATGAAGACCAAAAAAGCAGAGACAAATTCAGGGTGTTAAAAAAAGATGAGGGAATGGTTTCTATGTCCATGCTGCATTGTAGGGATCAGTACAGCAAGTCCAGGAAGTTCTACCTAATAGCTGAAAATACTTGTGTAACTCAGGAGGTGGAGCTACCCGCCAGCTGCAGCCAGTTATCGGTCCCTGGGGTCTCTGCCTTGGAGTCCTCCTTCCGACAGTGTGGAGAGTGTCTCTACAGAAGGACACCTGGAGCCTCGAAACCGTCACTCAGACACCACTCAGTACTTAACTATATACAATTTATTTACATAGGGAGAAAAGGGGAGGTAGAAAAAAAACCATAAAAATCAATAGGTACACCCAAAAAGAGACTAATAGCTATTATATGCTAATAACTATTATACTTATGCTATAGCAGTATGAAACCCCAAACTGCCTCTTCTTCTGGACATTTGGGAGCAGTCTCTGGGAAGAGGTGGGGACGCCTTACACTCAACTCTCAGGTCAGTTCCTAGATGAGTTTCACCCTACATTGCTTGTAGTGATGTTGCACAACCCCTAGTGATGAATGTCACACTAGTCCTGGATGCAAGTAACAACCCCACAGCAGCAAGCCCAGCTATGCTGGCCATGAAGCAGTATAAATAGTAGAAGTGTGATAGCTGTTCATCTGATCATCTTACTTGTTCTGATACTCAGCAAGCCTCCTAGCTCTCTCCTTCCTTACTAGGGAAGGAAATCAGGATCTTTTCACAATTATGGACTTAAATGAGGTCATTTTGAACACCCTTTAGTCTGAAGAACCCAGAACCAGCTCCTAAGCATTTATATTTATCCAACATAAATTTAACATATTGCCGATTGATTTCTTTTTAACTACTGCATATTAACCCCCTCATCCAAAAATCTGGAACAAGTGGAACGGAGTTAGATCAGGTTCTCTTGCTAAGACTCTGCACCTATTCATAAGGAGTAAACCCAATTTATTCACGACCCTCCCCAAACATGCAGTCTGTAGACAGGCGGGACAATTTTTGCCCCATCTAGCCACAGAAAGCAGTCTATAGCTGTGACCGAACACAAGTGCATGGCTGCAGACTGCTTAAAAAATGGCCAGTGGTGTGAAAATCTGACCCCCTGCTATAGACTCAGCAAAACCCTGCAGGTAGAGCAGTTTCAGCTTCCTGCAAACAGAGGCTGGTTTAAGGTGGATGAAGAGTCAGCATCAAATAGCAGCCTGGGTCATTAATTTCCCCTGCTGAGACTCCGAATGGCAAGCTAACTGGTCTTACCAGGTGCTAACTGGGAGGTGGCTCTGAATCGCACAGCGTTGCTAGTTGCAATAGTAAGCAAGGTTATTTCATTTTAAGCAGCTTCTTTGTTACAGATGTGATTTGATGTGTGCAAGATCTAAACCAGTGGTTTGTGACCCTTTCATGTATTTTTCCCACCCGCTTTTTGGGTCCATGGGTGGAGAAGCATTGATCTAAATGACTTTCCCCATAATCAAAGACTTCGAGAGGTTTGCCTCTCGCGTAGGACGAGGTGTGTGGGTGCACCCTTGGGGCACTTCCCAGAGAAGAACATTGCAAATGGTTCGACTTCAATGTAACTCCAACCCTGGAGGCTTTTGCTGCGCTTGAATTGATCCCAGCTCAGTTCACACGTCACAATGAAAAGCAGCAGCTGCTGCCCGGCGGAGAGTTCCCCTTCGAAGAAGTTCCCGGCCTTCCCGTGTCCATCTCCAGAGCAGCCGTGTTGCAAGGGTAGCGTGCAAGCAGCTCACGGTATGAAGGATTACATCCAACATCCCGCAGAAGTGCGCCGGCGAAGCCCAGGGGCTGGTGCGACGCTGTGGGCAGAGCCCGTCCCAGCGCTGGCCGTGCAAAAACTCCTGTGTCTGCAGGAAGGGCCCCGCAGCCTCAGTGCTGCCCTGATGGCGCGACTGAACAACCAGGGCTTCGCGGTGTCTATGAAGTGCAGGCCACCGGCCTCCAAAACGAGCGGTCCCCGGGGAAGCCGCGCAGGGGGGAGAGGGTCCAGACCCGGTGCACGGCGCTC